CAAACCAACCACCAGGCCCTCAGATGGACCTACTTAGACAGTCATGGGAGACTCTGGAAAGGCTTATGCAATGTGGTTTAGTTTTTTACTAAAGTTATTCTAATTAAAAACTAAACCTTTACTAGAAAACTTGTCTTCATTTATTGGAGTCTATGGAAAACCCACAAGTTCTATTGCCATATTTCCATGACAGAATCCAGGGCTTCAATCAAAATTCATTCATTATGAACATGACCTGGTTTCCCGGTATGTTCACTCACTTCTTCTTCCCACTACCTTGTCCTGACATGCTGTCAGGCTTGAAGTCTTCTTGTTTTAATCGAAGTCCAATTTGTTATGATGCCAGAATACAGGCATCACAATAAACTGGAGTGTGTTTCTTCTCCACAAACCAGTGTTCTAAAGCAAGAGGTTTAATCCTGGTTTAGAATCCCAATTACCAAGGTAAAAGTGAAAATGAAGTCTGAATTCAAACATCAGACCAAACTGGAAATAGATTGAAGAGTTCCTAATCAAGGTTTCATTCATAATTTGGAGGGGCAAACTACAAAGTGGGTTCAGACGCGCCATTTGATCTGGTGTCATGACAGTTCAGCAACATATTTTATATGCACGATCACACAGTCAACATCTGCCTCCCGTCCCCAGCCGTTGGTTTCCGGCTCAAAACCGCTTTAACCCAGAGTATTTTGTTACCAGGTCCCAAAGTGGTGTTTTCTCAGCTCTCCCGTTTAGAGCCGCATTTCCCCCCTGTGTGATCGCTCCTCCAGTGTCAAGCCACTTCCGGTTTAAACCCCCTCCCCACTCGAAAGCTGCCCGAGGCTTCCACTTTTTGCCCACCATTTTATTTTAGCGTCAGCAGTGTGTGCCTAGGCGGAGCTCCGCTACCGTGTTTAGAAAACCAACATTTAAACAGTCACTTGTTTTAGAGTTTACATGAGTTCAGGATCTCATGGAGGCCATTTTTGGGTCAAATGTTTAAAGGGAAGTCTTTTGTTGGAGGGGTTGGATTGATTCGCCCTGGTGGTTCTGCGCATGTGCCATAGTAGTTTCGCCTCCCCCCATTCTACGGATGAGCACCTATGCACATGCGCAAACTGAGAAAATTTTTTATAAACCCGCTGACACACGCTCCCATGCGTCATTAGTGTAGACGCCAGGGAGCGACGTGATTGCACGGTGAGGTGGGATAAGGGAGGTAAGTGTGATCGTGATTATCCAGATCAAGTATAATCTGGTTAGAACAGGAGCAGTTTACCCCGCTCTCAGCATGCCGTCTGACTGCACCCAGTATATTTTTTTAGCAAGCTGGATTTGGGTTCCCCAGACCTTACTCATTTCACCTCAGTCACACAGCAGCTGCAAGGAACGTCACTTTTAAAGCTTGCAGGAATGAACTCCTCTCAGGACAATGGTGTGGGGGAGGGGCTCCTGCCTCCCCCACATTACTTTTTCCAGAACCAGCCCCCACTGTGGGGAGTTATTTGCCTAACGTTGGAGCTGCACAGAATACTCGCTGTGCAGCTCCTAAATTATGCAGATAACTCCCTACAAAAGCTGTTTTGGCTCAGGAAAAATGAGGGGGAGGCAAGAGCCCCCTCTTCCCCCCACACAGCCATCCTGAGCTTCTGCAGGTTTTAAAGTGATGCTCCCTGCAGCTGTTGCATGGCTGAGGTGAAAGCAAGCTGGGTCCAGGGAATTTCACCTGTTAAAAAAATGTATCAACACAATTTGGCCCTTAGATGTATCTCGGGAGAAATGGAATTCCACAGCCAAGTGATCCTCTTACAACCTCTGTGAAACTCTACTAGTTAAGGGTGCTTCCCAGGTGATGTTTTACTTACCAGCAAATCTGTAGAGGCTAATTACTGACTCGACTGTTGCACTGTTTAGGTGAAAAATGATTCAAGCACAGTCCTATTTAGTTTTCAGAATACTCCTAAACTTTTGCTGCTTTGGTTGGAACATATCAACATGGAAGTTATTACACTACTGCTGGTTTTGGATTCCCCACCCCCCTAATGGATTAGCAATACTCCCAGTATTTTGTCAGTGTAACCCTGGTGGCAAACCCAGGTTTGCTGCTGCATAATGCAGGAAAAGTCCTTGTGTGGGGATGGATCTACTACAGCTACTTCTTGTGCAAATGAAGCTAATTAATGCCAACAGATTTATTTTGCAAATTAGATCTCTGAGGTTCTACTAGGGTTGCCAGGTTCCTCCTGGCAACTGGCAGGGGATGGGGGGCACTTACCAGGAGAAAGAGGAAGGCCCAGGCCATGTCTCCAGCATCACACCACAAGCAGTGTTCCCTCTAAGCTAGCTCACAGTTTTTTAGCCTCCGGCTCACAGATTTTTGTCTTAGCTCAGGAAGGATGGGTCCAGGGCAAACTAATTTATGCAGCAGCCAAATCGCTCGCTCACAACTTTAATGCCAGTAGCTCACAAAGTAGAATTTTTGCTCACAAGACTCCACAGCTTAGAGGGAACATTGACCACAAGTGGTGTCATCATGCTGCAATGCTGTCACAGTGCTCAAGTATTGGGGGGGGGGACTCTATGATATAAACAGCTTCTACCATATAGTTTTTACTGAAATACCAGAGCATCACCTGGTCATCGTCACTTCCTGGGTGACATGCTCAAGTATTGGGGGGGGGGACTCTTTCTCCTGGTAAGTCCCCCCCCCACTGGCCAGCTGATTGGCAGCTGAGGGGCAGATCCTGGCAGCAGGGGGCCCTTGCCTCCACTGGGAGTGTGTGTCTGGCAACTCTAGTTTCTACTATGTTTTTGTTGTTGTTCAGTCGCACAGTCGAGTCTGACTCTTCGCGACCCCATGGACCAGATCCCACCAGGCCCTCCTGTCTTCCGCCGCCCTCTGACAAATATAATACTGATAAGTAGAATAAAGTCCTGGATGAGAACCAAGTACGGCTGGCTGATTTTACTGCAAACATTCTTATATAATTTGGCAGCTTCACATTTGTGTGCACAGATGGTGTCACTTTATTCCTTCACACAACTAGACGTTGAGAGATACCACAGTCTGCAATTACATGCAGTTCTAGAAATACTGCTTTAATGGCTACATAACTCGCTAAACCTCAGAGGTAGAAGATAAACTCCTCAAGAAGAGTATCACAAGGGCATAAGCCACCTTATTTCAAGCTTATGCTTCACATTTAAACATATTGTGAGCATACCTGCTCTACTGTGTAATGCCTCAGAATAGGAAATTATTCTCCTCTGGATCAAAAAACATCACTAAACTAGAATTCAGGTTCAGAAGTATATCATCATTAGCTACTTCATAAAGAATTCTTTAACATTAATTCTAAAAGTACAGCCATAATTATTTCAAGAATTCTTAACATAAAGGGTACACAGACTGAGGTAAAACAATAAACAGATATTAAAAACCAGCAGTCTAAAGTCAATAGCACCATCAGCAAGTAAAAGCATAATAATCAACAGGACAGACCATAAAAACAGTAACTGTTATACAAACACAGAGGAACATATAAGCTACCATAGAAGTAGAGCCATAAAAACCAAACCCGGAAATTTCCGTAAGAACCTTCACTAGTAAGGAACAAGATACTTCCTGATCAGGATGAGATGTTATAAAATGGCTCAGAAAAATATAAACATTTTCATCTGACATCTAAAAAGGTAACAAATTTGATGCCAGACAAGCCTTTGTCACGAGGAAAGTCTGGAACCTTGGAGCCACAGCAGAAAAGGCCCATCTCCTGCTTCTGCTACAAGCATACAAAGCAGACCGTCTAAAGCTAGCCTTAACAGTGGGAAGAAGATTCATGCGGGAGAAGCCTCATGCAGGTATGAAATCAGTATTTCCTATCTCAAAATACACACACTTACTTGTTAGGGATATGCAGGGGTCATTTCCTGCGAGAACGCACAGGAGCAGAGCTCCGGCAGTAAAGAGCTCAGGGGGCGGGCACATGCAACAAGCCCCACCCCCTGCTCCCAGCAGCCCTCAGTCAGAGCAAGCAGCAGCCAGGTAAGTTTCAGAGCTCCCCCCGGCCTGCCCCCAGTCCAAAACAGTCCAGTGGCACTTTAAGACCAAGTTTTATTCAGGTACAAGCTCTCCCTCCTCTGCTCTGCGAGGACAAATCTGCATGTTCCCCCCCCCCAACAGCTAGCAATCCAAAACAGTCCAGTGGCGCCTGAGTGGTGGGTGTTATGACACACTTCCAGTGATGTCAGGGGGTGGGGCATATGCAAATAAGTTATGCTAATGAGTTATACTAATGAGCTCTTGCACCTCTTTTCTACGAAATTACCACTGGGGATATGTGTTGTGACACACAGTGTCAACAAGCTATGGAAGCTTCTGTGGCGCTAAGCAGGAACGGTCAACTTGCATGATTCTGGCAAAACATTTAATCATTAAAGTTTTTTTAAAAAATAGGTTATTCCCCCATCTTTCTTACACATGTACTTCAAAGGCTACTTTCCATAGGTGATCCCACTAACTGCCAGCTACATTACTGAGTTATTGTTCTTAAAATAAACAAACACAGGCCTCAAAGAAAGGCATTGACTGACCATATTCCCTATCAAACATACTGCTTGATCTCACAGTTCTGTATAATTCAATGTTATCTGTTCACTCCCTCTCTATTTTATACATAAATAGGCTAGCCAAGCTTGTGTAATTATGATAACCTTAATCTAAAGTACACGTCAACCTCTATCATCGTATGCCCTTTTTACTTTGCATAAAAGCTTCAAGGATAAGTCAGTTTATAAAAAGGCCAGACATGGTTTGTTGAGCCTTGGGCAGAGAGACAACCAAGGGCCACACAGTAAGTCATGCCTTATTTCATCAGGTATATTGTACTGTTGACGCATTTTCATTATATGATACAGCTCCTATAACAGCATGAGGTAAGAACAACATTAATACAAATGGACAAAATTCAGGAAGCCAATGCACCTTCTTTCTTTCTTTCTTTTTGTTTAATCCATTTTAGATGTTTGTGTTTTGGAGCTTTGCACTTTTACTGATTGATGCAGCTAAAGGTGAGAGATTAAATGGACTACTATTTTTACCACGACAACACAGGAGCACCAAATAAATGTTGGTTTGCCGAATTGTTACTATGTGGGGTATCGGTATGATGTCAGAAGATGGGACTTGAGCAATATCATACAATACAGTAAGTGTGTTCAGAGGAAACGAGATTGGAGGAACATTGTGGCAGGCAGGAGAAATGGTGGATCTTGCCCTTCAGCACTGGAACACCTCACAAGGAGAGATTTTATTAATAATAATGGCATTTATACAGTGCTCCCAAAGAGCTTCACACACATTATCTTACTGTAATGCAAAAGACAGTCCTGTAGGGGGGGGGACACTGAGGTCAAAAATGGTGGCTAGCCTAGACCACATTGGTCGGGATGCCAGCCTCCAGGTGGGACCTGGAGACCCCCTGAAATTACAGCTCAACTTCAGAAAACAGAGATCAGTTCCCCTAGACAAAATGGATGCTTTGAAGGGTGGATTCTGTGTCATTGTACCCCACTGAGGTCTTCCCAGGCTCTATCAACAAATCTCCAGGAGTTTCACAACCTGGATCCAGCAACCCTACTCCTCCCATCCCCCGCAGGTGGTCATGGGGGACCTGGAAACCCTCAGCAGAAGTGAGATTGAACTATGGACCTCCCAGATCATTTTGTTAGCTATTACACTCCACAAGCTCCTGGAATATCTAATGCCAATCTGATTTAGGATTCAGAGAACATAAGTGTGTATAACAGAACCCTGGTAGCCATTTCCCTCCCTCCCTCCCTCCCTCCCTCCCTCCCTTTCTTTTCTTTTTTTTAAGAGAAAAGCAGCATCCAGGAGGGGACAGTCTGAAATGGAGGAATAAGTGCTTAATCTTTCCCCACCTCTCTACTCCAAACCCTCCCAGCAGCTGTTTTTCCCCCATGGAGGTCCTGAATGTATCCTTCTGATGCCCAGAAAGGAAACAACATGAGTGTTCACCCCATGAATTCTGGAGTCCCATTGTCCATGAAGATCCATCCCATGATTCTGCACCAAGAATGTGCCAAGTAAACTGAACAAGTAAATCAGAGAAACAGAACAGTTTTCTTAATTTTCATTATTTAAACTTACAATCATTGCATTGTTTTACCTTATAATTAGGCTTTCTTGGCAGGGAACAGTGATGAAAGTCAATCTGAAGGAGACATGGGGTAGTAGTGAAGGTTTAAGGCATAAACTACTAGGGTGTGGTGATTTTAAGGAAGAAGGGTGGATTCAAAAAGCTCTTCTGGTCACAAATATTATCAAAGAAATTTCTTTGAGGCATCCTGATACACCTGGGCAATAACGCTACTATATGAAATAAGAGCAGAGATGCTACACTAGGAAACAATTCTTATTTTTTTCACACTGCAATTATTTGGTCCACATAAATAGGAGAAGAAATCTGCTATGAACGAGTAGGCTGCTATACAGATGACATACCATGGTCTGGAACTCCTGAGCGACCAATTAAAAGATTGCCCTGGTCTCCAGAGAGAATAAATACTCGCTTCCTTCTCTATACCAAAAACAACCCCAACAACTTCCAGGTAAGGTCTTCTGTAAGGGTTAAACATTGAAAGATTCTCCCACAAGCTGTATAAAAGGGAAAAATATGCGGGTGATTCTGATAATCCTAAGAAAAGTATTTGCATGAAGACGTACAAAACTCACCTTTAGAAGAAGAAGAGATTGGATTTATACCCCGCCCTTCACTACCCAAAGGTGTCTCAGAGCGGCTTACAAACTACTTTCCCTTCCCCTCCCCACAACAGACACCCTGTGAGGTAGGTGGGGCTGAGAGAGCTCTTTCCAGAGCTGTCCTTGAGAGAACAGCTTGTCAGAACTACGGCTTGCCCATGGTCATCCAGCCAGGTGCAAGTGGAGGAGTGGGGAATCAAACCCAGTTCTCCCAGATTAGAGTCCGCGCACTTAACCACTACACCAAACAGTAAGCACAACCACCAGTTTCCATACCACAATTTTTAATCTTTGACAGCATTAGTGATAGACTTGACGAGGCATTTGTGATTTAAGCTCAGTATTTTATAGTCATGAGGTCGTTTTGATTAATTTTTAGGAGAATGAAGGGGAAATGTCTAGTGCTTATATTCTTTTATACCTTTTCACAGGAAATCACAGCAGTTGAACCAGAAACTATTGATTACTCAAACTTTAATGCCAGCAAGATAACACGCTTTATTACTCATGGATTTGTAGACCAGGGTGAGGAAAACTGGTTGTCAGACATGTGCAAGGTACAGTATAATGTAACTGTTCTTAAATCAGTTCATACCCAGACAGGTGATGCTGAGCATTATCACTTTTCTTTACTTTGCTGCAGAGATGTGGTGATAAATAACCCCCATTAGCTGCCCTTTAGTTATGAAGTTTGCCCAGAATAATAGAACTGTGTTGTGGGAGGAATTTAGAGATCATGTTATCCTATGCTATACAATGAAGCCAGATCAGCCACACCCAAATGTTAACTATGCTTTTTAAAATGTGACCTGATCACCTCTGAAAAGATGCAGGCACTTATATTTGCCAAACTAGTGTGTATTGCCACACTTATGTATATTGATTGGGCCATGAAGTATTCATTGCTGACTCCTTCCCAATCAGCACAACATAGAGGGCTTTGCAGAAACAAACTTGTTTTGGTGGAGAGTACCAAGGAAAGACCAATGAGGCAACATCTTTTTTTTCAGGGATTGCTCTCCATTCCAAGGATTTTCCCACAGGGAAAGACAGTACACCATTAGCCAATATCATCTCCCATTTCAATATGCTTGCCGTGGTCTCCACCTGAGAGTCCGCGACAACCTAGAGACCGTTATTCCTGGGAAGAGTCAAACATATTTTTTTTCTTTACCAGAGGTATTCAGAAGAATTTGGGCACATGTACAAAGCAGCATCCCTTATTCAGCACTCACCTCTGACAGGTTCAAAGAGAACTGTAGAAGCCAATATTCACAAAGAAGACATACCAAGATCTATGAGTGTTTGTATTCTCTTATACCACTTTGCACCACTTTTGTAGCCCTTATTCAGCATTTCAGTACACAAATCCATACAAAAGGAGGGTCTAATCTTCTATAAGGTATAGAGCATTCCCAGGATAGCATAACCAGGTAAGCCATGAAATATGACTAGGTGAATATACCACCAGACAGCCATTAGCCAATATGGCCACCATCTAGGCACAGCTGTGGAAAACAGAACAAACTAGGAAAAGGTTCAGGATGTGTAGTGGCAGGAACCCTTCCACAATGTCTGTTTTATGTTGTTTGCATCAGAGGATGTTTGAAGTAGAAGATGTCAACTGCATCTGCATAGACTGGAAAAAAGGTTCCAGGTGTCCATACACCCAAGCAGCAAACAATATCCGTGTGGTGGGAGCTGAAGTGGGTTACTTTATAAATACCCTTGAGGTAAGAGTGCTTTAATACACTGATCCATAGTTATGGATCTTACTGTGTCCTGATCTGAAAGCCTTCCAATAACTGTAAGTAATTTCATAAAACCTGGATCATAAAAATTTTCCAAGATCCACTTAGTTTGTGAAGTAATTCTCAGATTGATACAGTGACTTTAGTGTTAATTCTACTATAGGAAGTCTATAATTGTTGGGGAGAGGAAAGGATCAGAAAATAAAATACCAATATTCTGTTGTGAATATGCACACTTGACATCTATGCTACAGCTCTGGAGTAGATTCCAAATGAGAGAAAGGCAAAGTATTGGGGGGAAAGCCACACTGAAACAAAGATGATTTAAAATTGTATATAGGGGGGGGGGAATCATTGAAGTATTAGTACAAATATTTCAAAAGAGCTTTCTTTCACTGTAACACTATGGCAGGTCCTGACACACCATCAAGCACTTGTTGTCTGTACTATTTTCAGAACACATAATGCATGTTATTATCATGGGAATCAGGTTTATCCTCCAGTCAACACATTGGCCACCATCCAGCTGGTTTTTAAAGTGCATCAGTGGATCAAGGCATTCAAATCAAGCTTAGATCATTCAAATTTTATACCCTGATAACTGAATCAGAACCATAGTGACTCACAAATTCTCTCCATGGCTGATACCTGAACCCTATTCTCCCAAATTACATTCCAGCAACGATTCCATTGGCTGGGCCATGGCCCCCTCAGTGGTTTTGTTCACAAATGTGCACTGGGTTGGGATCTCAAGTAACTGTTTATAATTCTAATGGGGACAGTTCCTGCAATTGAGGAAAGTGAGCAGTGGAGTGCCACAAAAATCAATATTGGAACCAGTACTTTTTAAGTTGCTCATAAATGATTTGGAATTGGGGATGAGCAGTGTAGTAGCCACATTTGCAGATAATACTAGCAAAAACCAAGTTGGATTGTAAAGAACAACAGGAAGATTTCTTTAAATTGGGTGAGTAGGCAACAGTGTGGAAAATGAAATTCAGCATGGTCTAATTATAAGGTGCACACTGAAACAAAACAAATTGAAACAGATCTTGGAGTTGTAGTGGAAAGCTCAAGGAAAATATCAAACCAGTGTGAGGCACTATGCTGGACTAGATGGACCACTGGTCTGATCTGGCAGGCTTTACTCAAGTTCCTATTTCTAAGTCAACAAATAAATATGTGTGGCAAGTATCCCACGCTGAGTGGATCTAAGCTAAATTCAGCATGTGGCAAAGAAGTGATATAATTGCTTCACCATGTAGCAAGCTCAGAATCAACTGCAAAGGTGACGTAAACATGGATCAAGTTGGAAGCTAAGCAACTTGTGAAACATTCATAAAATTACTTCATCTTGGATCCACTTAAGCCATGTTCTCATATGAACTGTCTATGTGCTGTTCAGAACATTTAATAGGAACCAAAATCTACTATTTCTTTGGACAAACACCTGCCAATGTATATGTTCTGTTTTCTTTACTACTGATCTCATCAATAGGCAAGGTACGGCTACTCTCCTTCCATGGTACATTTCATTGGCCACAGCCTTGGGGCACATGCAGCTGCTGAGATGGGAAACAGAGTACCAGGAATTGGAAGAATAACTGGTAGGCAAATACAATGCACAAAAATAGTATCAAACAAAGTATTCCTGGACCCGACTCTTACTTGGTGCTTTGTACAGATACAACTATAGAGGCTGAACGAAGAGGAATCCAGAGGGTAATCAGCTCACAAATGTGAATACACATCTGCCTGTATGTGTGTTCTGCACACAACTGTCTTTTGTAAAATGGTTTTTGAGAGCTGAACGGTGCAACACTTATCTTGAAAAGTGTGACAAAACTAGCAATTGTTATCAGATTCAGATAGATCATTTACGATCAGTGCAAAAACAAAAAAGCACTGACCTGTAGTGATGGCTGATGAATTTTAGTACAGGCAAAGATTACCTATCATGCAGTTATTGGGGGGGGGGGAGCAAGATGAAGGGGTATCTTCAGGAAAGCCAAGCTCTGACAAGGGGGGGGGGGAGCAAGATGAAGGGGTATCTTCAGGAAAGCCAAGCTCTGACAAGTCCAAAGAGAAATTCCAGGCCCGATTTCCCACAAGCGCTGCTCCACATTCACTCTTCCCTTTTGCCCCGATGGCACGTGTCAATTTCACACAAGCTGCTGCACAGCCACATTTTACCCCGGAGCTTCGCGCGATTTTCCCCGCATCTACTCAGTCCTCAAAAAACAGGATTGAGTAGACGCAGGGGAAATCACGCCAAGCTGTGGGGCAAAATGCGGCCGGCAGCAGCTTGTGTGAAATTGACACGTACCATCGGGGCAAAAGGGAAGAGCGAGCGTGGAGCAGCGCTTGTGGGAAATCGGTCCAGATTTCTTTATAGGTTTACTTGATGCTTAATTATCCACCTTCACCCCTAAACAGTAAGAAATTTCCATGAGAAAGTTCTACTGTGTTCTTCTCTCAGTTCCACTAAAGATACTTTACTGTGTTTTAAAGCTATGATTTATTGAATCTGAACCCCCAAACACACACATACCCTAAGAAACATGGCACCCATAGGTTACCTGAACCAATATCACACTTTCCCAGGGACACACAGAAAACTATTCAGTCTACACAAGACAAACCATGACACATTCACAATGTACCTTCCCCCCATATTCTTACACTGGATCTCCCATAAGGCCCTGCTATTATTTCATGCACAGACTCCTAGGACACTGATAGCCAAAGATTTGCTAACTAAGATCCATTTGTTATAAGGTCTAGTTAATGATTCTGAACAGCTCATCAGATTCTTCTAAATCTCACAAGGACAGCAAAGAAATATTTTTACCTAAACCAGTCGGTGTGCATGGATGGATTTCATATTTTATTATCCAAAAAGTCAGATATTTATGTGTTAGCTGTGAAAATGACCACTCTGGATGCAATGTTCAACATGTCGGATCCAACACACATTCACTTGCAGTATGATCACTGTTTAAAAACATTGAACATGGTCACTGTAACGACGTAGAGATCAGGTCGCCTGCAAGTTTTGTTCATGCATAGTGCAATTATTATGTGCCAGCAAAGTCAGGAATGTGATATTTGGCTTATTAATGGCCAGAGCCTACAGATGAGCAGCTCCGGGACTGGTTTGCCTTCCAAGTGACCCAAGCAGCCACTTGAGACACCAAACGAGTGAGTGGTAGTGATGGGTGTAACTTCCATGACCTGTGCCAAAGTGTACTTCCTCTGCACCTGACTTGCATCCTGTGGGGCAGGGCAGGAGGAAGGCACTTTGGGCAGCTGAGCTAAGTAACCTAGGCTGTCCCTGAGCAGGTGCTATGCAGGTGCTATGCAGCAAGAGCAGCAAGAGCTGCCATATGGAAAGTTTCGACCATATGATGAAGGGTCATCATTTTTCTCCTCCTAGACCTATTGAAAATCTTTCTATTGAAAATCTTTTCTTGTCAGTTGAAGATTACTCCAGAACAAACGTCTGAGAGCCACAGCCTTCATCTTTGCCACTCGTTTTTTTGGTCCTTCGAGTTAAATATAGATAAACTGGACTTTTTAAAAATGTCAAGTACTCTAACATTAGACTTTTAGTGAGGATTTACATTTTTCTAATTACTTTTTTAGACTCCTTATTCATCACACAAACAATTTTTATGTACCATAACTAATTTCAAAGGTTATTAGATCAATAGTTTTCCATTAGACAATTTCTTGCAAGGACTTAGGCCTAGTACCTCTTGAATCAAAAGCCTGAAATATTTAATTTAACACCAGCTTTACAGACATTGTAAGGGTTGGAAGAGGGAGGCACATTTAAATAATAACAGAAATGCTGCAGCTTTCTGAGCTTGCCATTAAATTACAGCATATCTGTTGCAGAGATATGAAAACCTAAAGAAAAGCTAATGTTGGTAAAGTTAATTAAGTAAACGGTTTGGGGGAATGTGGATTCATGTTTCAGATACTAGGCCCCCAGCATAATAAAACTGAACTATTGGGAATCAGCAGCCCATTTGTTCCTGAGTAACTAGAGTAAAGTCCATTGATCCTGATACAAATAACGAGCAGTGTTTATATCAATAACAGGGTCATATATTTGCTAACACCAGTAAACTGGAGGTGTAAGAAACTATTTTAAAGAAACATTTTCAATGGTATATAACTGGATATCTGAGAGCCTGCTTCAATGACTTAGAGTTACCTAGCAACGAGCACTTAGTGACAGAACAATATTCTCGGGAGTTGGCTCCTGGCCAGTTGCCAGTACTGCACCCAGTAGAGGTGGTTTCAACAAGAGCTCTTCATTCTCCTCATGTTCTCACAGCAGTGCTGCATAACAGCACTTCTGCTATGAAATTGGGGAGCAGGATCATTAGTGTTTCACAGAGTAGTAGGCTACAGACATTTCAGGGTCATTAAATCACGATGTTTGTGCAATCCTGTCACAAGCTACACAGGCAATTGTACAGTTTTTCTAACATTCTACCATAAACATTTTCTGAAAAATTTATCTATCATGAAATCAAGACAATTTCCCCAGTTTGACATTTGGTGCAAATAATCCACCTGGAGAACAGCGTGCTCTGGTCAGATAAAAAGAAAAGTCTGATGAAAAATGGTCAAATGTTAAAACATTTGCCTTGATCTTGAAGATTCACAAATGTGTGACTGGTTTTTGTGCGCACAAAACCTGCCTCAGTTTTTATTTTTCCAGCTTCCATTCTGCCAAGAATTCAGAAATGTTCCAAGAATCCTGCACTGCCTGGTTTGATAAAAATATGTTGCACATTAATAGAGTTATGACGTTTCAAAGTTTAGCCACAGCTTTCTTCCTCTGCAGCACTGAACATGGGGCAATGCTAAATAATAAAAGCTTATTAAGAATTTATATCATAATTAATGGCAGAGATGCCCATTCAAAGGAAGGTTGCAAACAGAATACAAATTTGAGAAAAAAATTAAAGGAGCTAGGAAAAGTAAGTTTAGCTAGATGGAATCTATGTTGAAAGTAAACACCAAAAGTTAGACTACAATGTCACTGTCACGCTTCTCCCAAAATCATGGATGCTATGCCTTAATTCTTTTCTTAAACCAGAGGGTAGAGTAATCAGAACTGGACACTTCTGTCAGCTTTTTAAAGAGTACACTCTTATCTTATTTAACTGTGGTTCAGTATTGTTAGTGTATAAATCTACAACTGCCTCTCCTAAAATCCATGTGTATACTTTTATAGCCCTAGATCCTGCTCAACCATATTTTCAAGGCACACCACCCATAGTCAGGTTGGATAAAAATGATGCTGCTTTTGTTGATGTTATTCATACTGATTCGGCTCCCACCATTCCATACCTGGGTAAGTTGGCCATACTGCATGAAATATGCAATAGTATTAATAAGTCTTCAGAAATCAACACATTTATCCATTATGAATATTCTAGGCTTCGGAATGAGTCAAGCTGTGGGACATCTTGATTTTTACCCAAATGGAGGCGAATACATGCCAGGATGCAAGAAGAATATAATTTCACAAATAGTGGACATTGATGGAATCTGGGAAGGTAGGTGTAAAGAGGACTTCTGCTAAGAGTAAAGAACTTTAACAGGCATTGATAGGATACAGAGCTATACCAAAGAAAAGGGAATAACACTTCCAACAGATGCACTGAAACCAAAAGGACCAATCCCATGTTTACCATATTGATCCAATTAGAGCTTATACATGCATGGAATGTGATTGGCTGAGGACCCATATGCACAAATGGGTGCAGCTGAGGTCTTACTCCCCACCACTACCACAGAGTCAAAAAGCTGCAATTTAGAATAAAAGCAACTAGTTTCATAATGTCTTCATATAAATCTATGGTGTACCATCACCTTCAGATTTTAGATTGGTGATAAACAGTGCGTGTCAACAGTTTTAGAGCGTAAGAGCCCTGCTGGATCAGATAAATGGTCCATCTAGTTCAGCATCCTGTCTCACATAGTAGCCAACCAGTTGGATGGCCAACAACAGGGCATAGAGGCTGAGACCTTCCCCTGGTGCTGCCTCCTGGCTCTGGAATTCAGAGATTTAGTGCTTCTGAACATGGCGGTTCCCCTCAGTCACCATGGCTAGTAGCTGACAGACCTATCCTCCATGAATCTATCTAATCCCCTTTTAAAGCTGTTTATTCCTGTGGCCATCACTACATGCTCTGGCAGCGAAATCCACAGCAGCTAATGATCTAAAATTAAACAAACCAGAGAGAAACAAGAGGAGAGGAGGGAAAAGGGAAAGAGGCAGGGATAAAAGGAAGAAGAATATGCATTCATTTCAATTCACATACTTAGGCTTACTTTTGGCAGATTATTGAAGTTTAAGATTGAATCAATCTGCTAAAGGCTTCACAGGAAAGATGGATTCTGAGGAGGGACTAGAAGGAAGTGAGAGAGGGTGACATTCAGGGACCCAGATCCAGGTGTTAGGTGCAACAAGAGAGAAAGGGTGGAGCTGTTTGAGCGAACAGAAATAATACAGGTAGCTAAGGGTGGTGCAGCTGCAAAGGTGAAGGTCACAGGAAGGGACATATTAGAATACAGGATAGGAAAATTCATGTAGAGCTTTGAAGGTAAGGATAAGGAGCTTATATTGTATCAGGAGGAGGACAGGAAGCCAGGGTAGGAATTTAAGGCAGGAAAGTGTTTTCATCAAGGGGGTGGAGAGAAAGGACACAAAGTCTTGGCTTTAATACACGGCAATGGTGACATTATCAACTGATATGGAAATCATACAAGAGGAGGATAATTTTGGAAGTAAAATGAGAAGTTTGGTTTTTGTCATATAGGGTTGGATCAAGTGCAAGGACTTTGGGAGGTTCACATAAGGATCCTGTCTTTTTTTGAGGCAGTTGACAATCCTAATGAATATACACAGCTTCAGTAGACCTTACACTGTGCTAAGTACATCAGGATTACTGTCTCCATATTAGAGAAAGGAGAAGAGCTGAGACATATAGCACCTTGCCTAATGCCATCTGGTCAAAGAGCAGTACAGGAGAAGGGGAGGACAGCAGTCAACACTGAGAAAATGGTGCAGAGGCAACAGGGTTAAGTCCCCTCACTCTGCACCACCCCCAAACCATTAGAACCTCTTTAAAAAACTGTGGGAAAGACTAATCACAGATTTCCTCGGTGATATCTCATGTGTGATTGATCTGATGAAGTAGGTTCTAGCTATGAAAACTCATGCTACAATAAAATTATTAGTCTTTAAGATTACAAAAAAGGATCCCATCTTTTTTGACACTCCCATCCCTCCAGAAGCTATTTGGTTTCTTCCCAGGGTCACAGGACCCTCGTTTGTCAGGGAACTGCAGTGGGGAAGGGGGCAAAATTGTTCTTCTTCCATCAGCAGAGCTCCGCTCATGCTAGTGGTAGGAGGGAGCAATTTCACCCCCTGCCCAGGAACCCTTCCCGACAGGCACGGCTATTAGTCCATGTGGATCACACAGCCCAGCAAATAAACTTTCCCATAGTCTGAAATGGCTGCTGGGGAAAGGACAGAACTGGGAACACCCTTGGCTGTCAGCACTTTCTTCTGGTGAATTGTGAGATCCAATCCACAGACAGCGACACAACATACAGGAAGTCTAATCCAACCAGAAAGTGTAGATGAGGGGCTAGATGGGAAGGAGAAAGTGTCAGGAGTTCAAAGAGGTGGAGGTACAATAATGCACTAATATTTTTAGTACTTATGTCTGAATTTTCAGAAAGTTATTTTGTTTATTTGCTTCATTTATTCAGGTGTGCGTACTAAAAATTTAGTGCATCTTGCTTCATTCACAGACTATGTTTCTCCCCCATGGGAACACCCAGTGGCTTACATTGGCCTCTCCTCCACTGTTATCCTCAGAACAACTCTGTGAGGCAGGGCAGGCTGAGAGATTCTGACTGGCCCAAGGTCACCCAGCAAGCTTCCATGGCCGAGTGGAGATTCAGACCTGGGTCTCCCAAATTTGAGTCCGACTCTCTGAACAAACCACCACTGGCTCTCAATATTAGCTTTCAATGTTTGCTAACCCAGTTGAAGAAAACAAAAGACATTTAGGGGTAGACATCTTGATATACAGTTTAGAACGCCAGTTTTGTCTTCTGATCAGCTTCACAGATTAGGGTAGCGTTATTAATAAATAAATACTAAGAATAGCAATTGCTATTGAATCCTAGTTCATGAAACTTTGCAAGCTCATAATTCCCATCCATCCCAAAGTCCCCTTGTCTGATGTATTTACAAGAAACCTTTTTATTAAAGTGATTGAAGAGACAAAGAACCCTTTCATCGTATGATAATTTGTCATTATGATGGCACATATTAAAAAGACACAAAGTTAATTATAGTTGTTCCACTGCATATTAAGCTTTCCCAAACTAGCATACAGAACAGAAACAAACAGGAATTAATTGCCTGTCTCATCCAGAAAAGCTGTTTATTAATAGTCAAAGTAAATACTGTTTAAACTGTTCCAGGACAGTGAAGCTGCAGGAAAGGCCATCATTCAAATCTCTGTTATTTGGGCGGGGAGCAGCAATGAGGGAATAACCTTGATATTTGGGTATTGCTAAATCTTACTTCCTTACCATTTTTAAACAGAGAATTTCCTAACAGCCAGTTTGATCAGTGTACCTCTCGTTATGATGAACTATTATCCAGTACTAGTTTCAGACACTGAGTATCAAAGGCTGAATCTGCATGGTGATGATTCTCTGTTGTGAATACAATGGCATTGCAAATACAGATATATTCATAGAAGCAACAGATTGTCCATGTGGGGGTTTCCTACACACTTTCCCTGGTCATCCCCTTCTGTTTGCCATTCACTGCCACTAAGTATACTAGAGGACATTTGTTGGCAATTTTTAGAAGGGTAGATGATAGTTCCTATATCTGTATAGCATTATAGCGGTATAGCAATATAACAATTACCAATTTTTAAGGCAAAAAACCCACCAGTGGCATTATGGGGGAAATGACAGGTGCAAGGGGAGGCCAGGAGTAAAATGGCACCAGTGTAGGTGGGACCTTTGAAAATGCACACTCTCCCATCCAGGCAGTGTGCTAATGCACCTGGACTGCATTCTTACCAGAAATATCATACCAAACCAACTCTGAGAAAGATTAAAATGAAGCAGAGGAAAACCTGGGAAGTGGAAACAATGGGCTCTTTCACACTCATTTTCATTGTTTGGGTGTCCCTATTTTTGGCGAGAGGGGTCTTTTCTGCATGTGTTTTGCTCCCTCTAGTGGTTGATTTGATAGTACATCACTGTATGTCCATTATATTTCCCTGCACTTTAAAACTTATATCCACGAAGATTAAAGTGAGTTACCCCTTAGAACTGTTCTGTTCATCCTACCACCATCAGTGATAGAATGGAGATATCCATTTGTAAGAACAATTTACTTCACAATATATAAGATGCAGACCAGTCATCAAGCTCCCTCTGGTACTTATGCAGCACTGATTTAAAGCAACGTCTGATGTAATTTAGCATTTTCTGAAGCTGTAACCCAGCTTTTACCCCTATAGCTCTCATATGACTTCACAAGGGGAAGTGGTTTAGTTCAACCGTTAGCACAACCTGCAAAGTGATGGCAAAACAAGTGTCAGAAAAAATGGCAACATTGCCACTCAGTCTAGGAATGGGGATTAATCTACAGGGTGTGCACAAAACCTTTTGTCAAACCACTTGCTATGAAGCAGTCAAAGATAATTTGCAGTATATAACAGTAGCTTCTTTTTCTCAGGAACCCGTGATTTTGTGGCCTGTAATCACCTGCGGAGCTACAAGTATTATTCTGACAGCATTCTCTATCCAGATGGATTTCTAGGCTACCCATGTGCAGGACATAACTTATTTGAAACAGTATGTTATTTGTGTATTATGGAAAAATATTATCTCAGGCTACTGTCACTTCATACGCACACAGTAGACTACAGACTTCCAGGCTGCTAAGTTCCTTTAACAGTGTAGCCTGAATCTATCTTTTTTGTGTGTGTGTGTGTTAAAGCCATTGAAGGTGCTTTCCATTCAGAGAAGCAATGTTTTACAACTGACACTAGAACACTCTGCCAGAAAAATGAAAATAAATCCAAGTATGTACTTCTGCTTGAACTAGAGATTGTGAAATGGCTTGCACACTTTTGAACAAGTGTTAAGGGCTATATAGCTGAGTATTATAGCATGTAAGCAAGGAGACCTATAAAAACTTGTAGGTGGCATCTCATTTTCCCTGTATCCCCCCCCCACTATTTCCTTTTTTACTTCCCTACCAGTCCCCATACCCTCTCCCCTTTTTCCTGCTTTCTTCTTTTCTTCACGCCCACCAGCTAACCTACTGTTCTCTGCACCCCTTTCTTCAGCATTTACTCCTTGCCTTCCCCAGGCAACCTCTCCCCAGGAAATGTCTAGTCGAGCTTTGCGGTGGTCGCTGCTGAAGGGTGCTCCAGAGAGCCTTCCTCCATCAGGAGACATAACAGGGAACAGAGATGAAATCTTTTCCATGCCTGCTTTTGACTTCATTACAGAAATCAGTGCGCCAGCATGGCAGAGTGACTAAAGTATCGGACTAGGATCTGAGAAACCCCTGTTGAAATCCTCACTCTGCCATGGAAGCTTGCTGGGTGACCTTGGGCCCATCGCAACCCCTCAGCCAAACCTACTTTGCAGGGTTGTTGTAAGGATAAAATAGAGGAGATGAGAACAATGTAAGTCACTTTGGATTCCCCATTGGGGAGAAAGATGTGATATAAATAAAATAAAATCAAAAAATAAAAACCAAGGATTTGAAGACTGAGCGATATTATTACAGTTGATGAGCTACCTCCAGTGGCCACTGAGAGCATTTTTTTAAATCTACAGGCATTGTTTCTATTATTTTGGGGAGCTTTAACCCACCAATGCAGTTCTGTAGATTTTGGATTTTTCTGCAAACCTGGCACTTCCTTCAGGTTTGTAGAAAATTCCCTCCATCTGTCCTTAGCTCCATTTTGTTGTTGTTGTTGTTGTTCAGTCGCACAGTCGAGTCCGACTCTTTGCGACCCCATGGACCTCATCACGCCAGGCCCTCCTGTCTTCCGCCATCCTCTGGAATTTGCTCAATTTCATGTTCATTGCATTGGTAACACTATCTAACCATCTCATCCTTTGCTGTCCCCTTCTTCTGTTACCTTCAGTCTTTCCCAGCATCAGGGTCTTCTCCAGTGAGTGCACCCTTCTCATTTGGTGGCCAGTATTCAGCTTCAGTATTCCAGGGAACAGTCATGGTTGACTTCTTTTAGGATTGACTGATTTGATATCCTTGCTGTCCAAGGAACTACCATTTTTGTCCTTTATCATGGCCAGCTTTGCATGGAGTGTTCCCTTGATTTCTCCAATTTTCATGAAGAGGTCTCTAGTTCTTCCCATTCTATTGTTGTCCTCTATTACTTTGCATTGTTCATTCAAGAAGGCCTCCTTATCTTTCCTTGCTGTTCTCTGGAAATCTGCATTCAGTTGGGTAAATCTTTCCTTTTCACCTTTGCCTTTCGCTTTCCTTCTTTCCTCTGCTATATGCAAAGCCCCATCAGATAGCCACTTTGCTTTCTTGCATTTCTTTTTCTTTGGGATGGTGGTGATTGCTGCCTCCTGTACAATGTAACGAACCTCTGTCCATAGTTCTTCAGGCACTCTGTCTATCAAATCTAGTCCCTTAAACCTATTCTTCACCTCCACTTTATATTCATAAGGGATGTGATCTTGGTCAAACCTGAATGGTCTAGTGGTTTTTCCAACTTTCTTCAGTTTAAGTCTGAATTTTGCAATGAGTAGCTCATGATCTGAACCACAGTCAGCTCCAGGTCTTGTTTTTACTGACTGTATAGAGCTTCTCCATCTTTGACTGTATTTTACAGATCTATTTTACAGATCTATTAATCATATTCTCTACAGTGCAGTTGAGAATTAGATCCATAATGAAAACTCTTGGGTCAAGCATTTGCAGAACTACTCTCTGTTCTTTTAATCCAGCTCTACGTATGTGCAGGGCAGAGGTCAAGCCTGTTCTGACATTTTAGGGTGATAGTGGCTGGTTAAGATCTATCAATGAATTGCTGGAGACTAGTGGGTGGAACAAGGGGGCTGGTGGAGACAAGCAAATCACAGCCAGCTTATCGTAACAATTAGTTTAAGTACACAACAGCATTTTCTGAAAAGTAACTGTCCACTAATTTGGCCATAAAGATATTAAAATAATTAATTCATTAGCTTTCCATGACACAGGGATATAATAGAATGTCATTGATTCTTACACCCAAAACATTCAGATAACACAGACTATTAGACATGGAAAACACAACTACTTCATATAAATCAGAAGTGAAATGTATTTTTTTAAAAATGTTGGCTTTTCCTAAGAGTTTGGGGGACAATAGGGTCTGAAAACAGGAAGAGTATTCAAGGCTACCTTAGAGAAAACCTAATAATTTGTTTTTTAAAATGCCTTGAAATGTGACATGGACCAACAAGGTGGTCTTGGACCACAGTAAAGTATCGTTGCCAAGTGCAAGGCAAGGCAAAACAAGTGTTACTGTACCAAATTATTAGATAGGGCTTTGCATTGTTACAATAAATTTGTGGGAAATTGCTGCATAATCAAAAGTTATGAATTCTTCCTATTTTTTTTTAATTAGGGAACCTGTTTCCCATGTCCCCAAGGTGGATGCCCCAAAATGGGTCACTATGCTGATGAATTTAAAAACAAAATCAGCTCTGGATTTCAGAAGCTCTATCTGAATACCGGAGAAGCCAAGGTTTTTGCCCGTAAGTTCCAATAATATCTTCTCATTTATCTGTTGTAATAAACACTGAAGGCTGACTTCTGATACAAACTAATAGCTCCAAGAACTGTGTGAAACAACACACTACTGATCTCCACCTTGCATATGGAACAAGAATGGCCCCATGCCAGGAAACGTCCTTCCAATAGGGGACTTCACTGGGTTCTAATTCTGCACAGACAAATGCACTGATCCAGCCAGAAAAATTTTTTTTTCCCACAGAGCAGAATTCTACAAAGACCCATCAAGAATAGTTGTACATTTATTTATATTTAATTCATTTTTACACAAATCAGGTTACAACTAATGTTCCCTCTAAGCTGTGGAGTCTTGTGAGCAAAAATTCTTCTTTGTGGGTTACTGGCATTAAAGCCATGAGAGAGCGATCTTGCTACAGCATAAAGTAGTTTGCCCTGGAGCCATCCTTCCTGAACTAAGACAAAAAATGCATGAGCCGGAGGCTAAAAAACTGTGAGCTAGCTCACACTAACTCAGCTTAGAGGGAACACTGATTACAACATTCTCCACTTCTCCATTTTATCCTCAAGAGCCCTGTGAGGGTGGGTCAGGCGGTGTGGCCCAGGATCACCCAGCCACCGAGTCTGTGACTGGCCCAAGGTCACTCAGGAAAACTTCCACAATAGAGTGGACATTTGAATCCAGGTCTCCCATACACTAACACTAACCACTATCCCATGCTGCCTCTCAACATCCAATACACATCTACATCTTACTGCACTGCTTGGATCCAGACACGAGCCAGATGCTAAGTAATATCCACAGTGTAACTATATTTCTACCGCAATGCAACATGGCTGGAAGTATGCATGTCCCTACCCACTTTTGTGCTGTCATTCACAACACACCCTTGCACACAGCTATAGTGAGATTGGGGCCACTCAGCTAGCCCTTTACTCAGAGATTGCTTATACGTTTTAGAGAAGTAGAATATTATCTGTTTTAATATTGTTTTTTGCATTATTTTTAATGTGTCTGATTATGTAAACCTTCCTCTGTCTTAAAAATCTTCACAGAAAAGCTGTGCTTGAAATCAACACAAACAGTTCAGTGCAAGTAGGAACAGAAACTTCTAAATACTGACTAAAACAAACTTATTTTGTGTGTGTTGATATAGGCTGGAGGTACAAAATATCTGTCACGCTGTCTGGGAAGAGCAGTGTCAGAGGATACATAAATATTGCCCTATATGGAACTGGAGGGAACACAAGGCAATATCAAATTTTCCAGTAAGTTCAGTATGAGGGAAATCGTACAGTGTTAAAGATACTTGATACTGGGTTTCCTACTTTTGAGCTCCTCCATGATGACTGCGCCTTTCTTCTCTGTTTTAGCAATGGATGCAAATGAGACCCTCTTTTTGCTGAGAGAGAGCTGCTGAATGCCAAGCACCTCTTCAGCCTGCTCCTTTCAATCTGAGCTGCATGCCAGGGACAGCCCACAGGTCTGTGCGCCCAACCCATTCTGTGATGTGCCAACATCTGGGGCAGGCTGCAGGAAGCTGCTTGAGAGCTGACTGGCTGACAGCCAGTGCTGGGTCCAATTGCCCAAATCATCCTTGCTCCCCCCCTCTTCCAACCAGGCACAAATGCTCCCCCACCCTGGGAGCCTGTCTTTGTCAGCTACTCCATGACTGGATATACTTTTTGAATGCACATTGGCCAGAGGTGTATTCTAATTATTGTTGAGCAAATTTATATATATTGTGTGTAAAGTCACTTCCAACTTACGGTGACCCTATGAATCATGACCTCCAAAACATCCTCTTGTTAACAGCCTTGCTCAGGGTTTGCAAACTGAGGTCCATGGATTCCTTGATTGACTCAATCCATCTCATGTTGGGTCTTCCTCTTTTCCTGCTGCCTTCAATTTTCCCTGGCATTATTGTTTTGTCTTCTCATAATGTAACCAAAGTATGATAGCCTCAGTTTGCTCATTCTAGCTTCTAGGTTTGATTTGATCTACAGCCCATTTATTTGTCTTTCTTCTTTGTCCAATTTTCACACCCATACACAGTAATGGGGAATATTATAGTGTGAATTATCTTTATCTTGTTCTCCAGTGACACTTCCTTACATGTAACAATCTTTTCTAGCTCCTTCATGGCTCCCCTTCCCACTCCCAATCTCCTTTTATTTCTTGGTTGTGGTTCCGTTTTGGAGAGGAGACAACTGAGAGGTGATATGATAACCATCTTCAATTACTTGAAGGGCTGTCATATAGAGGATGGTACAGAGTTGTTTTCTGTTGCCCCAA